TTAACGTCCGTTGGTTGTAAAATTACCGAATGTCACATGGAAAACCCAATGGAAAATAAAACTTAGCCAGCATTAGACGTCAGAGTGCGCGCCAATCAGAACACAGTAAAGTGTGTTAAAGGTTAACCTCTGGCAAATGTTGAAAAGCTGTGAGCAACAGTGAGTAAAAAACAGAGTAAATGCGGTCTAGCATGACTAGCCTTAATTCGGCAAGGTAGTGATTTCTATACTTCCATTTAGTATTGGATTGATTTGCAGGTTGTTCTGCTTCAAATTACGGTAAACAATAAACAACGTGATCTGTAGAAATCGTAATAATTTGTACATGATTTGTCATCAGTATTATTTAAAAGAAGAAAATTCCTACTACCAGAAGAATTATATCAGATCAAAATTCTCCGAATTGGAAAGTTTACCAGTATAACTACTGTCTGCTCTCCTCCTCTATAGGGGAAAATGTAGGCCGTACGTAAGCCTAAATGACATCGAAATTCGAACATACTGAATGCCCACTAGGTTACCCACCCAGCTAGCGAACTAAACACAGTTTTAAAACATGATCGATTTAATAATAAGGTAGGATATAACAAAACAATAAAGTTCTAACATTGTTTATTTAGTAAATTGCAACATTGCTTACGTGTTGAAAGCTGGTAAACTACATTTCAATATTGTTTACGCATTGATTATCGCCCGACGATCCAGCCTACGATCATTGCAAAGCTAATTAAAATAACAATGACCTTCGTAGTGGTTCTTAGCTACGTTCCAAACGGTACCTACGAGCAGCCTACGAGAGGTTACGCGCAGATACGAAGCGATATTTCCTGTCTGTACTGTAGGACTATTTTCAATGTACTCTCATCAGTGAGTTTTTCAGTGTAGAATAGAACTAGAAATGCATAGGCCTACTGATGTAGAACTACTACTTTATTTATCATCGAAGTAGTGTATATAGCAGTTATAGTTACAAAATATAGGACAAATACAAATAGGCCTCTATTATTAATAAATTCCTAATGGTAGTAAAATATTTTGTGCTGCAAACACTTTTGGTTAAATTATCATTGTAGTTTACAAATAACATACATAGGTTTTAATTTTTATCTTTATTAGTTTTTAAAATTATAAACATCAGATACATTTGATGGCTCAAATTACTAACCCCGGTATTCTTAAAACAAACTTTAGTCGTAGTTCGAGCTAAAACTTTAAAATTACGTCATTTCGTATTCTTAAAACGAACTTCGTCTAGCACTACGACTAAATGGCGTGAACCTCGACTAAAATGATACATCTGCAGGCCGATTTTTTTAGTCAGCCTAGGGTCAGGCTAAATCGCCGACTTGAAATATTTACCTCTTTAAAAACATGTTTTTTTGTAACTCACAATAAAATCAAACGAATAAAAACGATTGTATATGCAGGTTTGATATATCTTCGGTGTGTAAAACAAAAGAGACATCAAGTTTAGCTTCCAAAAGGAGAAATTAACATGTCTCACTAGCCGCATGCGATAGTTCCTGATTTGCACGTAATCCCCTCATGTTGCAATCACCTAGCTTCACCATAACAACAACAAAGATGGCGCCCCCCTCGCTCGGGCTCAAGTATAATAGTTCTCCAAAGAAAGCAACTTTTCAGTGTCCAAATTCTGTATTGTAATATTTAACAACTAATATAGTTATTATTATAGACAAAGGGAATGATGGTCTATTATGAATTATGAGGAAATACGTTTTTGAACCACAGACGTCAGCTTAATATTCATCCGCGTTACCGGATCTCTAAAATTTCGTCTGCTATTAAAGTTAGCCCTTTTCATTGGTTAGTTTGATATTCGTGGCTTGCTAGTCGTCTTCAGTTGAACTAAAACTAGGACTAGGTATTTACTTGATTTAGTCGTAGTTAAAACTTCGACTACATTGTTTGTGAATACAAATTGAAGTTAAAGATGCAACTAGCACTAAATGAAGTTCTAGTTCGAAGTTCGACTAAAGTTTGTTTTAAGAATACGGGCGATAGACCTAGACTCGAACACTTTACTTATTTATTTTATTTCAACAATCTTTAATGAGGGTAATCCATCAAGCCGTAGCTGATCATTAGGACCCCTCAGCACACACAGTGAAACAAGACAAAAGAGAGTATGAAATTAATTAATCCATCCTACGGTTGGCACCCTTTTACTCCTTAGGACCAGAATTTTTTGCCATAGCTTCCCACAACTCAAGACCTCCAGATAATATCATAGAAATGCTGTCCAAGATACAAAACATCAATACATATCAATCCATAAGGGGACACATTTTTTTCCCTTGTACAGTATCGCAAAAACTAGAGCAGTCTCAAAATAAAAAATCTTTCAATAAAAAAGGTCATTAAAAATAAATTTTTTTAATTTTGAAAACATTATACCAACACCCCTAATAATAAGGGTACAATTTCACGCTTTGGTTTGTGTCACTTGAATATGGGTACCTTTATTGAGGAGTCCCAAAGGGGTCCCCTTAATAGGGGTTCTACTGTATAGTGGCCTGCTGCCCAGCCAAACTAGGGCCAGGCCCTAGAGACCTACTAGTATAAAATAGAAATGAATGCCAGTCAATATGGGCAGATGCTATTTCGAAGAAATGCTAGTTCAGATGCCAATGCCAGTTTCAGTGAATGCGTTTAGTGCGAAATATAGCAATAGCGAATTTATCTAAAACATAATTTTTTTTTTATAATTTCCATTGGTTTATATTAATGCAAAAATGCACTGTGTAAATAGGGTTATTGAAAGGTTTTTGTTAACTTTTAAGGTTTCCATGTTTGAATTAAGTCTTTGCAATTATCTGACCTTCCAATGGCTGCTGACAAACACTATTACTGGTATAGGGTTTTGTAGTAAAAAAAACAAATTATAAGTTTAATTGTAATTATTAAGCTTTAATTGAATTTTTACTGTATTGTAATTATAACTGCATTTGTAAATGTTGGTATGAAAGTCAATGATTAAATTAGGGGGTGCTAGCTCACAAAATATAAAGGCGATTTTTAAGCATGCCCAAGGGGGAGGGGTTTTAAAATAACATTTCTCGCCTACAAATTCATCTAACTCTGCATCTATGCAAAACTGGATCCTCTTTCGTTCGAAACGGCATTCGCTCGAAGTGGCGTCTGCTCAAACTAGCATTTGCTCTATGTGGCATCCGCTCATATTGACTGGTTCCCATAGAAATAGGCCTAGCCTACATACATTGACAACTAGATCCTAGGCCTACGTACCTATGGCCTAGATAGCTAGATAGAGTACATACAGTAGCCTAGCCCAGGGATGTCACCAGCTTTTTGGAGTGCCGGTCGGCGATCATCACCGGGGGGGGGGTCGTCATATTCGTGAAAGCTCTTAAAAACCAAAAGGCCTAAGTCGAGCAGGCCTAGGCCCAAGGCTAGCCGATGCGATTTTTTTAGGCTAGGCCCAGGTAGGAATTATGAATGCAACAAAACAGATGAAGATGAGACTTACTGTAGGCCTAATTAAATTCAATAGTTGACATGCTTTGTTTTAATAATAATAAAAAAAATCCTGGCGACAAAGCGTCGATCCGACTGTCAACTTCACATGCTGGGCGTGTGTGTGTGGCCGCAGTTGGGCCGGTGTTGTTGTGTTGTTCCCTTAGCTGCGTATTCGCGGACGAATACATGGTTGTATTATGTTTTTAAAAAATGAGTGCGATGTTGAATATAGTATCTGTGAGCAGTACTACGGCTAGCAGACAGAAAAGGCACGTGCTGATTGACGTTCTAATTGGAGTTCAGGGTTTGTTTTCTGAGCCCAACTCTTAACTACCTTAACAAATTCAAAGGTACTGGCCGGCGGGCCATCAATGGCGATGCGTATCAAGCCATCAAGACTTGTCTGGCTGAGTCTATTCCGTGGAACAATTTTAATGAGCTTAAGTTGTGAGAATGTCCGCTCGGAATCGGCAGTATGACAACGTAAAATCTGATATATTTGGGCCAATCTCGTGACATTTGGAAATGCATCCCAGGCCAGACGGGTGGTGCACAGATAATTAACAAAAACATCGGTACTGGTATCCTGCTGCTTAAGAAATTTAGATCCTTTTGCAAAGTTCCTGAAATTATTCCACTCATTTTAGACATCGGCTGTACAGGTATCGTTTAAGAAATGTTCAGTTATTGTAGCAATACACTCATTCCCAAAGGTTTGGTCAGCAGTAGTGCGAAGCAAATCGGGATCAAACAAACGAAATTGCGAAAGTATAGCAACATCATCAACCGGGAACCTGTGTGTAATATTGTCTATTAGCGTATCAATGTACTTTCCACGGATGTGCTTATCGAAGAAATCGGCGTCATCAGCTCCTTTCTTGACGTCAATGTCGGAAGATTTTAGTTGGTCCAGTAGTTGTGGTACCTCCTGTAAATTCGGTCCAGTTGTTTTCTTCATATCAGATATAGTTGTGATTGTTGCTTTCACGAGCGGTTGGATCGAACCATGCTCAAATTCACGAGCCTGGAATGCTTTGCAGAGGTGCGGCAAGATGTCGCAAAGTAGCAACATCGTTGCTATGAAACAATAAGTTCTTGTTAAGTGAGAGAGTAATTGCTTAAGTATCGACGCAAATTTCTTAAACGGTACGGCATTGGCAGCTTGTGATGTTGCGAGTTGTAAACGATGGCCACAGCAATGAATCCCAATGGCAGATTTAGCAAGTTCTTGTAATCGCTTCACGACGCCACTATGTGTTCCAGTCATTACGGCAGCTCCATCGGTACCAATCCCACATAAATGTTCAAAATCCTGTCCCTTATCATTGAAATATTCAGAAACGTGCTTTGTGATGGTTTCGGCATTTAGGGCAACTGCGCCTTCCCCGTCAATCGCTGCTTTCAATGGTTCAATCATTTTCAAAAATTTGACACAGTTTCCCATTGGCATCAATGTATCGGCAGTTCAATGTTAATTGTTCGCAGATGCTCACATCAGTAGTTTCATCTAACATAATTGCAAAATATGGTGACTTCTTCACATCAAGAAGTGCTGATTCCTCGAGCTGGTCAGATAGAAACGATAACATCTCCTGAATATACTTATTACTACAATAGGTAACATTCTTTGCAACATTTAAGTCATCCTTAACATTCAAGCCGAGTTGTGTAAGTAGATCTAACAGAGGTTCGAAGTTTGTCTCTTATACACATCTAGATGTGTATAAGAGACAGGGGTTTTGTATAATAAACTCTAGTTGACCCCTTAATATAAATTACAGAAAAAAAAAACTGATTTGAAAAATGTAAAGCATTTAGGTACTGCTGGAATTTGAGGTATGTGCATCAGTAAGGCTTAAGACGAACAATATTATGTGAAGGGGTATGCAATTTATGCATAGTTGATGTATTTAATTAAAGAAATCATGGTTTGTATATCTTGAACTCAGTGTATTTTGTATGTCTGCAGGAATTGTTTAAGCCATTATTATTTTTCCATCCAGTAGCCACTCCAGCTCGAAATCAAATGCATCAATCATTCAATACTGCTTGTGCATGCAAACAATATTGTGGCAGTGGAACCAATGGATGTCAACAACCAGCTAACGCATCAATAACAATTTACTAAGCAATTTATGTAAATTTCGTCTAGGTATTCATCGTCTGCAAATTGAGCATCTTCATTCATGGTGTCTTTATCATCTCTGTTCTGACAGTTTGTACATTGACAAAGATTGGAGCATTTCATGTTCATTTTATTGCACTGACATCTGCCTTGATTGCACCCGGTCTTACAACCGCATTTGATGATCTCCATTAAACTATGCCTACTGTATTATTTAAAATAATACAATTTTAATTTATAAGATTAATTTTTACATGAACATAATAATTCATATGTGAAACAATAAATTAAATTTAAATGTAAATATAATGACATTAACGAATAAATAACAATAATTAAACGTGTACATACAGTAGTATCCATCACTACTACAATAACAAAATTAATATTTTTCAATCTTATAATCAATTTTATATAGCCAGAGTTAGTTTCGACCTAGGCAAACTTTTGCTAAAAAGGTACACTACCTAGGCAAACCTTTGCTAGAAAGGTACACTTTCTCCATCAAAAGGCTTTTTCTATGAATGCAATAACCTGTTCGAAGCACGAACTCCTGTAGACCAAACCCAGTACCGTTACGATTTTCAATCGTACGGGAAATCCACTCACAAAGCTAAGTAGGTAGGGCCTGCACAGTCAGCACCATTTTTTAAAAGAATATTTTTAATACATTGTACAATGTGTCTGGGTAAGGTACTGACGGGACTACACTACACTTGGTAATGAAAACTTATCATTGCTATCGATTTCGTGTCGATGTAACGACGATAGCAAACAGGGTGAAAGTCTTATCACATCCTCGTAATCGTATGTCTTTCCCTTATCCATTCCAACCAAGACACAAGAGGCACATCCTAGGCTAGTTAAGACACAAGTTTGTCAGCTATAGTTCAGTTATGACTGTCTAAAACTATCCATAATTTGTTACAAGTAACAATCTTCAAGAATCTGGTTGCTGTAACTAGAATTGGAGTTTCATTAGCAATTTCTTCGCGGTGAAAACAACACTTTATTACAACACCGGCAAACTGTCCGCCGCTAGTCGCCATGTTGTTGCTTACTGTTGTTGGCTGTACCACAACACGTGAAGTTATTGTAACAAAAACAATTTAATAGTAGTCTAAAAAATATTATTCTGTAATTAAAATTCAAACTATATCTAATTATAATTTTTAAATTTGTTTCTAAAAGCAGTAATACGAAGTTCGAAAATAATAAACTACGTATCAAAAATACAATATTCGAACGAGTACAGTGACGTATACAAAATGTCGTGTGCTAATCTAGCGCAAAGAACTTTCAATTTTGTAAGTTTAAACGTCATTTTCTCGTATTTGCAGAAGTTCTGACGGTCAAACTTTTTTTTGGTGCTTTTAAATATTATTATAATAATTATCATAATGAGTGAAAGTATTAGGAAAATTTCGGAACGGGACTGAACGTTAGGATTTTCACCCCATGGCCTAAGCAGGGCAGTGCAGTATTTTGTTACAATTAACGTAACCACGGAAACATTTATTGTATTCTTCTTGTCTTTATCTATCAGGTTAGCTTGTCTATTGTGTTTAGGTAAACTAATTATTTTTTTACAATTTGTAAACTGTTGAAATAATAGTGGTGGTCGGGAGCCAGTAAATCCTGGTCGGAAATGTTGAGTGCTGGACGGGCCGTCCACCGCCGACCAGCGTGGTGACATCCCTGCTAGCCTAAAGGCCTACATATACATAGTAAATTAAAATGGAGATAAGATCAGTGCTTAACAGCCAATAAATAATAATTTATTTGAACATACATTTGTAATAGCCAGTGGCACACAATAGAAACAACTAAAAAACTTAAATTAACTAAGACAATACAGTTAAGTAATTGATCAAAATGAGTAAGATAAAAGCAATCAAAAACATAATTTCAAGTTAATGTAATGAGTAGATCAACATATTAAAGGAAATAAATGAAGTTCCGTACAAAAACAAAAAAAAACCTAGCACGGAGATACTTCGTTTAGCGAACCTGTCATTAATAATGATGATTTCAAATAATTTTCAATTATTTAAATATGTAATCGACTGCCACATGCCATACATGATTCTCCTGACATTGTTATCAAAAAACAAATTTACCAATTTTATGTTAATCTACAGTATTTTAAAATTTAAACACCCATCAAATATCCATACAATACATATTTGTTTTATATTTCAACTTAATTGTTATTGTTACAATACTCTCATGTGAATTTATCATTCAACTATAATTATTATTATTAAATATTATAGTATATTCATGTGTAAATAAATTCATTTAGGGTCTCAAAGTGATATTCTCTCATGGAGGTCCTAATTCCATCCCTTTTCATAATTTGTTAATTGTATTATGTTTCTCGTAATGGAACAATAAAATCACATCAAGGTAAACAGACTTGTGCTGGATGAGATGTTGTCGTCCAGAGCATTGCAAGATCTGGCCGAAACCCCAAGAAAAGATGGGAACTCTGACCTGTAAGCCTAATGCTCTGGTTTCAACTTTACCATTGCCTTATTTCATGCTTATATTTCACCAGCGATGAAAATGAACAGCTTACTGTAGTACTAGGCTAGACATGCACATTTTTACCTAAAATTAGCTTGGGTTCAGGGAAATAGATTCAAATGTACTGTAATCTGTCTCGGAAGTACAAGTTGTATTGCAAAATGAGGTTGTCTTCTAAACTCTATTAATTAATACAGTGCCTTCATTATTGTTATCTTTCAGGTTGTAATTGAGGATAAAGATGCTTTGTGATGAGTATTTGCCAATAGCAATACATTAGTAATGTCATCCCTTGATAAGGCTAAGGTCATCGTTGAACCAGTTCATGATGTCCATGTCCTGCTAAATATTGGTGATAATGCCAGAAAGAAACCTGTACTTCAGGATGGAGCTGACGCTCTGTCTTCAGTTCCTGGGGATCTGTCTCTTTCTTGTGTCAAGATAGTGCCACAAATAGAAGGACATCATATGCAGCCATTACCACTAAACTTAGAAGACATCAGAGAGCATTGCGATGCACCATGCTCACGTCAAGGTGTCAGGCCTCAAGTGCAACCAAACCAAGATGATGTCTTGTCGGTTGTAATACAGAAGCTAACAGAGTTAGTGGAAAGTAGTGACAATAGGAGGGCATGTGACAGAAAATTGAATTATTCTGGATCGAGCACTCCTAAGAGCATTGTTGATGGCACAGATGAGGTTCTATTTGAGCAACCAAAAAGTAAAGGAAAATGCAAATTGTTCAAGTGCCCTAACTGCCCATGCCTGTTTTCAGTTACTAAAGCACAACTACGTCGGAAAGTTCGTCCTGTATGCCCTTGCTGTGAGCAATCAAAATCAGTAAATCAGATGCATGGTAATAAACCTATTAACGAAGGTTTAATAGCATGCGACCTCTGTAATGCAATATTCTCATCATACTCTGATGTTCTCCTGCATCTTGGCACCCATACTAATGCTACCATCTTCAAATGCCGTCTTTGTGACTATGTTACAACACAAGAAAAACAAATTTTAAAGCATGAAACAGTACACTTCACACCACCCCAGCAGCAAAAATCGTTTAAGTGTGTGCAATGTAATGACACTTTTTCTGACTTTGCCAAACTTCAGAATCATATGAAAACTCACAACAAGAACAAAGAACTCTTGATGAAATGCTCTGATTGTGGTTTTACATGTCGCTGTGAAGACATTCTGCGTAAGCACATGTGGCAGCATATGGAGTCAAAGAGTAATCTGTCCAGTGACCAGAATCCACAGTGTGCGCTACTAAAAGGATCAGTTACAACATCTCAAGAAGAGACCAAAAGTGATATGCTCTGTAGGATTAAAGGCTCTGTATGTCCAATGCAAGATGGATGGCAGAGTCAAGTCTGTCTTTACAAGTGTCCCTTGTGTTCTTATATCTGTGAGAAGTTGTCAACATTGAAATGCCATGTTTGGCGACATGCAGGTGATAAGAAATGTGCTTATCCACTGATTGATGATGTAGAGAGTTTAAAGGAAGCTGTCATTCCCATAGCTAAGGAAACTAATGATACCATAGATGTTGAAGGCTCAGAACAAACAAAAATAGTAGTGGGGTGTTGTGTAGATACAGGAAAGAACTGTTGTGAAAAACGCAATGGAAGTGGCTGTCGCTGTGAGGCTATAACGGTTTCAAAGGAACAGTACCCCATTATTGAAAATATTATCGATAATCCAGACAGTATTTTACAGTCCACAAATGAATCTAGCCATTCTGATAACTTCAATGTCAATGCGTCAGGTCATACAGTCAGAATTGGTCATAAAGTCATTTCACAAGTGGTTGAAAGTAGTTCTTCAGAGAAAAAGAAACCTGCAAACGAAAGTGGCAATGAATCTATTAGTACTATATCTGCCGTAGGCCAGACATGTGACCAAGTTAACACTATTGTATCAAGTAAGCTCAATAATTCACATAACCTCCCACCAACATCAGAAAATTCCCCATATTGTCCAACAGACATCCAACTTGATAATACCACACCTGTACCAGAGATATTTTACCATTTTGATGGAGACATTGTCACACAAAATGCAGAAGTAGTTGTTTCAGAGACTGTTGAAATCTCTATGGATGAATTGACAGAAACAGAAAAAACTGAGAACTCAGAGGACTTTGTACCACACAAATCCTATGAAAATGTACAATTGAACGAAGATGGTATTGATGTGAGTAAGCTATACAACTACAAGTTCAGAGAATCAGAGCAAAGAACAATAGTGGGTGAAGAAATCGATAATGTTGATGGATTATATAAGGAAATTGGTTCAAGAGAGGCTGATATAAGCCAAAGCCAAATATTTGAATCATTGCTTAAAAAATCCCAAACCGAAGAAAAAATGACAGCGACACCAATTAATGATAAAGAATGTACCGTGAACAATGTTGATTCTGTTGACAGTGGTACTGATGATGAAGTTGAACAGTTAAGTATTAGGGAAGAAGTTGTGGGATCAAGTCCCAGTCACAGCTTCTCCATTCATGAAGGCCCGCCACAAAGTGAAAAACCTGGTATTAGTGATTCCCTATTGTGTGTTATTGAAAACCTTGTGCAAAGATCCAATAAGGATGTGTATTGTCAAAGCCAGAAATCTAAGAGAAAGCGTAAAAGGCATGAAAATGAATTAGTGGACAATGTTGAAGATATAAAAAGCTCAAAAAATAACTTCCAATGTGAACATTGCTCATATAAGACAACCAGCTCAGGATATATGCATCGGCATATGAAGTATCATATAGCAAATAAACCTAACCAATGTCCTCTTTGTAGCTTTCAAGCCAATGATGCCCAGCAATTGGAAACTCACATGATACAAAGCTGTAAGACACCAGTTCATAGTTGTAATAAATGTTCTGCTAAATTCTTTTACAAGAGTAAGTTGCTTGTGCATATGCGAACGCATGCCACCTTATTTAAGTGTGCATACTGTTCCTTTGAAACCAATTCTGAAAATGATGTTGAAGAACACAGATTGTTTCATCAAAATCATCAAGATAGCGATACTGCAACATACAAGACTGAAGCATATAAAATATCCAATACCTCACAATTTGTCTGCAAAGAATGCAACATGATTGTATCAAATCCTGATGACTTGGAATCTCATGTGAAAGTCCACATGAAACTTTATAAATGTCAATTATGTGACTATTCCTCAGCTACTGCCAATGGAGTGAAAAATCACATGAAATTTCACCTTAAAGATCGCCCTCACAAGTGCCCCTTGTGTGAGTTTTCTGGAGCTTACCCGCAGAGTCTGCGTGCTCACATGAAGAGCCACATGCAAGAATATAACTTCTCATTGCCTGCAGCTAATGAGGTCTTTAAGTGTAAGCTATGTGGTTACACCTGCAGCCATCTGCCATCTTTAAAGTCCCACATGTGGAAGCACGCTAGTGATCCACATTTTAACTATGAATGTACAATGAGTCACATTAAGCATGGAAAAAACAATCCACATTGTACTCAGAATAAAAAGAATGAATTGAATGACCCATTGGAAATTGAGATCTCTGAATCGGAAAGCAATGAAAATGTGATTCCAGATGAGGCAGAATATGCACTTTTACGCTATCAGTGTGCACAGTGTGGGTTTGTTGGCGCCACCAAAGACACATTAATTAAACATATTAGAGCAAAACACAAAGAAAGCTTGAATTCATTTGTTTCTCAATGATGTGATGCTAAAAGCTAATAGATGTTAAATCCAATGTGTAAAGAATTGTAGGTTAAGAGTTATTCAATCAACCGTTACTTGTGTTTTCTATTCAACAAAAAGTGATAACAGTTTTAACTTGGCATCATTGTCACATGGTGCTGATTACCTAACTTAGGTAGGTAGAATTCTCTTATATCACTGTGTGCTTTTAGCAAAACTTTGCACTATTGGTGAATTTGTGCTTGCCTGCTGCACATTCTAGTGATCTATGTACAAGTTAATTGAAGTACCCAAAGTAAACTTAGGAATCTCATTGTAAAGTATCCCTTTTTTAAGGTATCGTCAATGTGCTTTGTGTATATTCTTTTATGTTGTAATGCTAGGCTATGTTACAATAGCTGAGAACCGACTAATGTAGAAAATTGCATGTTATAGCAAAAGTTAAATTGTATTTAAACTTGGAAGAATGGAGATATTTTAAATCTGTAAAAAAGTCCAGTTATAAATCTCCACCCCCTCCCCCAACTTCCCTCAATTGCAGAAAAAATATTTTTATGTTAATTGCTCATTAGAGATTGCATGAATCAAATACTCTGATTTTCAGGCTTCTAACAATACAAATTTCTAAAAAAAGTGCTTTTAAAACTATTGTAAATAGAAGTCCCCCTCTGATTTAAGACCCCTCCATTTACGGGTCACTTTTGTTTTGTTTTTTTGTTTTTTTTTAATTTAATGACAAAAGGTGCTAAAGATCATGAAATCCCCAGTCACTAAAGTAGTCTGGTGAGGGAGACCTGTATTTGAGCCTGAGATAACAATAATCTGGTAAGGTTCAGTGTCCATCGTAATTATATTCATATTGAATAGATTTCATATTAGAAGCGAAATTTATGAAATGTTTGTCCTCTCCAACCTGAAACAAGCAACACATCACATTATTCAGTCCAGCTAGTGTGCCATATACAGTATGATGCAATATGTGTTATCATGTTGCGGTGCTCTATTCTGTCAAATCTAAATAATTCATACTCTTTTGCATTTTGTCATAAATAAATGGCATTGGCCAGATTGTCATCTCAGAACTAAAACTCAGTATTACAAATAGTACATATTACATTATGTAAAAAGTTAGCTAATGAATTACCATAAAACATTGAATAGAAGCCCTGAGCTTCTTTTCATTTTAGGACCCTTGTATTGGTTTCTTTTCGAGATAGACCTCTTTTTGAGATAATAAAGAGGGGGTGGGGTGTTTCTTTTCAAAAAGCTGTAAGTTTCGGAATTGCTGCTTTACATCATTTTTCAACTATGGGATTAATATTTTTAAAATTAATTATGCTTCGTTTTGAGATTAAGCCCATAGGCTTCTATTCAAGGTTTTACAGTATATTTTTCTAAAGACAGTCTACTAACATCAGATAATAAGGTTAGATAGAAAAAAATATTAGATTATCACTTTAGTTTTTCAAAAATTGACAAGGGAGGGAGGTTTTTTTATTTTGATTTAATATAGGCCTACAGTATTTAAATAATAGAAATACTGTATAATTAATTTAAAGAGAAACCTACCATTTTTTCAACAAGGTTGCACATTAGCATGTATGGGTAAAGTGTGTTACCTTTAAATTGCCAGAATGCTCATATAACACCTGCGTCTTAGTTTGATGTGGACCTTCTGCATACCACACGATGTGTTGCTAACAATTTCAACGACGTAAAAAGCAAAATATTTTTTATTACGGTGTCAAAATTTCCAAAATATCTGATAAGGGAGGGAGGGAGTGATAATCTAAGAATTTTTTCTGTTGGCCTTAAATGATTTAGTAGTTATTTATTTTTATTTTTCTTGGTTTTTAAATGTAAAGTTTCTATAGTACTACAAAATGGGAAATTACAATTATCCAAGGTTTTTTAGTTTCCTACATTAGTACATCTATAAGATACATTAATTTGATCTCAATATGGTGCTTTGTTTTATTGTAAATAAACATGTCATTTGTATAAAAGGGAGTGCATGGGGATTAGATTTGCAGCTATGGGTGCAAGAGACACTGATAATTTGAATCCTGCTACAGACACGTTCTTTCAAAAAGAACTTTCCATTGACTTTACATGATTATAATATGTTGGGTTCCAATCAGAGCACTGTCATTATTATTATTATTATTTATCTATTGTATCTTGTTTATATTGTGCTTACGATGCAAACTTAATTTGAATATTATTTACTGCAGTGACCAATAAACTATTACTGTATTTCCAGCTTAACGATTGCTCTATTATGTGTGAGCATATGTCAATTGTATGAAAGAGTTTGCATGGGGATTAGATTTGCAGCTGTACCGTATGGATCTGTATGGTCTAACAGTATGATACTCGCCTAGATAGTGAGGAACTCCGGTTCAAATCCCACTATAGAAACTTTTCTTTGAAGTGCTATGCTTGAAATGATAATTATCTTATGATGTTTCTATTTGAGCACTGTTATTAATATATATATATATATATGTATATATATATATCTGATTTCAATATTATTTACTATTATAAGTTGCAACCTAATGAGCTTTTATAGCTTAACTATAGCTCCACAATGTGTGTGTGTTTCAGTCAGTTGTACGAAAGAAAGTGTCTGTGGTTAGATCTGTGCATATACCAATAGGTCTCAATGGTCTAATGGGTATGATACTCGCATTGATAGCGAGAGGCTGCAGGTTCAAATCCTGCCAGAGGCTTTTTTTGTACAACCGAATTGAGGAACTTTCTTTGAACAGCTATACTTGATACGATTATAGTGTCTTGTTTTTATATGAGCACTATTATTATTTTTTCCATTTGTTAATATATATTTATAGACAGTATATATGATCAGTAGAGCATGGTAAGTGCATTTTGCCAAGAAGTTAACTATATACAACAAATATATTTAATTATAATGTGTTTCCAGGGTTTGTTGTTTTCAATGTGCATTTATTCCAAATGTCATCTTCCTATTTCTAACATGGTTAAGTTTATTGGAATGAAACTATAAAGTAACTTATATTATTTATTACTTATTTATAATGTACAAGGTTCTTGTAGATATTTTACTATATTTTAAAAATAGGAATTGTACTAGACACAATAGATATGCAGTATAATTTTTGCATCAAACCTTCTGTTTGGTGAGATATATTATTGGTTCCACCAACCCCCATATACAAATGTTGTGATTCAGTTAAAATCATTTGAAAACTTAAAAGCAAAAGAAAGGATGCAAGAGCTATGAAAAAATTGTCACATTTCTTACCTAAAGTAGAACACCTTTAGCATAATTCTTTTCCGAAGCACAATCCTAATTTTGTCAGGAAATTGCGTATAAAATTTGAAAAAATTGTTTTTTGTTTTAGCAATGTTTGATCCTGGTTGGTTATCTTGCTAAAGTTGAAATCACTAAAACATGCTGTGATTTCAATGACAAGCAGAATATTGTAATGTGGGATATGTGGAGTATAATGGCCAACATATAGCTAATTAAATGAAGTGTGTTCTGCACTTGCACATGAAATCCCAACTAGTACAGTTAATTTACAGTATATATTATTTGCAAGTGTTAAAATGAGTATACACCAAATATATTATGTTATACAGTATATCAAATTGCACACAAGGTGCATGTGCAAGTAGTAGTGATTAAATGCATGGTGAAAATGCTGCTTTTTATTTTTGTATTACTCAAAAATCTTTATTTATGCAAAATGTTATTTTAATGTTGTATACTGTATGCATTCTAGATTGCAAGCATTTTGCATGGTGCTATATAGATGTAGTTGCTAGTATTCTCAAATGTGGGTGCTCTAGTAAACTTGACATTCACTAACAAAAATTCAGACCCTATATTTTTTAAGATTAACATTAAAACATTAACATTTGTTGATTTTTGCCTTCTCAATAATATATACCTACAACAACATAAAAACATACACACAGATGGGATATATAAACGTCATAATTATTTGATACTACTGTATACAACAGACAACTATTCATTTTACATAGACTGAAAAAAATCATGGGAAATGTTTATTAATATACGTAGCTCTATGTAGGTAATTAGGGAATTAGTAAGTTGTTAATGAATGTTAGTAAGTTTACCTAACAAAATTTGCATATGTAAATTGTAAAATTGATAATATTGAATGAAATATTTTAACTAATGTTTTCAATTGATAATTATCATTATAACAAAGATTAATTATAATGGTAATGAGATTCTGTATTTAATTCTGAATGGTTTGACATTGTAAAAATTCAATAAACATGGTGCTAATGATTAATCTCCGACCTGGCATGAATATTATGCTTACTTTTAATATCGAATGATATTGAAAATAGCTACCTTCCAGGTCCCTTAAAAATTTGTATTTGTAATGGTAAGTGACTTTTTGAGGTATACTCTAGCTAAATATGCTATACGCTTTGTACCTTATATGTTTTCATTAATTATAGTCTTGTTTTTGTATAGGAATAGTATTCTTGATGTGATTGATATTTAACTAATACAGTATTGTTGACCTTTATGACAAGAGTTTTCCACGATTTGATGTTTGTTTATACAACTAATTTTACTAAGAAACTTTTGTGAAAGCTTTAAGTATAAGAAAATACCCTTAATATTGTAAACAGTTCAGAAATAACTTATGAATCAGTGTAATAAAAAATATAAAATGCCAAAGGAGTTACATCTTATTAAAATGTATGCAAATTTTGCATTCACCATGTGTCTGCGCAACATTCAGTTGTGTTCAGGGAGTTAGATATATGCACCAGTTATAGTATATCTCTGTGGTGTAGCATTATACCAGTTGACTTGATAGAGATGTTGCAGGTTTAACCCCCTCCCCCAATATTTAGTTTTGTATAACCGAAAAGGAAACTTTGATAAGAGCTATATGTCTGATAGCATCATTTTTTCTTTTATTCATTTATCTATTTGTTTATATTGTGTTAACGGTGCTATGCAGCAAATTAGAATATTATTTAGTATGATTTCCTAGCTGTGATCTATTATATAATAAGTTACATTCTAGCATAAACAGTTTGAGTGCAGTTTTATGAGAGACTGATTCTAGGCGTTAGATTTGCGACATATTGTACGGCTTGATAGCAAGAGTTGCAAGCTTTTCACCAGACACTTTTCATTAAAATGATAAAGGTGTTGAAGAACTATATTTGATATGATTATAACATCATGTGTTCCTATTCTTCCAGCACTTTTATTAATTATATATTTGTTTATACTATATATATATATATACACACACATGTACATGTAAGATGTGTATAAGAGGCATAGTACAGTATTTACTTTTCATGTAATGCTGCATTAGTATTACAGTTTTAAATACAACATTTTTATATAAATGGTATGGCACTCCTCTTGACAGCGAAAAATAGCATGTTTAATTTCCACCAGGAGGAACTTCATACGATCTTTACATCATTGTTCAGAGTCTTTTTTAGCACTGTCTCTATCAATAGCATTTTAAGTCTACCTACTTGTTACACTCTCTTTACTCATAAGCCACTACTGTATTTTAATTGCAGTACGTTACAATTGTTCAGAGTTTACGACATTCATTTTTGGATAATATTTGTGCCTTGAGTATTTGTTACACCGGTATTGAAGTTACTTCCATCAGTATTCATAGTAGTTCATCGGTAGTAAAAAATTTCTGTGTATTGTAAGTAAATTCACATCTAGTTACCCAATATCAGTTACCCAATATCACTAGAAATTGTACGTGTTTTGAGAAACATTGGTTTTCATTTAAAATGCATGACTATTGTACTTTTAATAATAATAATTAGTTTGCCATGAAGATTTCAATAAAATATTCAAGGAAAAATATGTAGTCTTGTTACTTTTATTGTCTAAAGCTGGTCTCGTCTCGCGTTGCGATTTTTTATCGATAACACTACATTTTTTTTTAACTTGTTCGAAATTCGTGTAGTATAAAAACCTCTCACATTTTACTCCAACTCCTGCTCACGTCGTAGCACAGCTTGTAAACAAAAATCAAAATACCGAAGGTCCACATTTTCCCGGGTAGGAAAATCAAAACTCGCTCTCGCACATTCCATAAATCCATCCGCCAAACCTTGAACAATCAGAGCAGTTTCCAACTAGGATCGCCTCTAATTCGTCGTTCAGGCAATGACTTTTAACTGTATTTATATAAACTTTTTGAGGAATTTGAGTACCCCCCCCCCCGCGCGCTTGCGTGTCAATGACAAGCCCGTAGCCAGGATTTTTATAGGGGGGAGGGGTTCTTTTTGATACTAAAAGGGCACTTGCGAGCGAAGCGAGCACCATTGGCTGGGGGCCAGAGTGCTGCCACGGGCCCCCGGTGGGGTCCATGGGAAAAAGGCGCGGTGGGGGTCCAGGGGGGCGAAGCCCCCGGCCCGGAAGCTCCAGCATTCTAGACATGTACAGGTGATGTTTGATTTGAGAGGCCATACATTTTTTTAAAATGTATATATTAAAGAGATAATTTTTTGAGTTAGGCAAAGATAAAAAAACAAAAAACAAGAACTACTAGTTTAGTACTACAGTATTGGTAAATTAACAAGAGCCTACAGTAGCATAATACAAACTCCAAAGGAACCAGTAGGCCTATGGTTTATTCTTTATTTTTATTCTTTTTAAGAAATAAGAAGTACTGTATGGCTTATGGCACTTTGGAAGTTGTATCATACTGTACTCACTCACTCAGACAATCAGTAACATAAAAAGAACCGAAACAAATTTGTATCATTTGGCTGTAGTGTATTATTATCCCGATTATTATTATATATGATTATACAGGTGAAACTATCCCCCGCCGGACACCATCCCGGTATTTCTGAGTCAAGGTTTCGGGGCCTGAATGATCATACTGCACAATAAAATATTGCATCCACAGTAATAATTATAATATATTATAATGATTTACTAGTATGGTTGGTTGTAGTGTATTATTATTATATATACAGGTGTGAAACTATCCTCCACCGGACACCATCCCGGTATTTCTGAGTCAAGGTTTTGGTGCCTAAATGGTCATACTGCACAATAAAATATTGCATCCATAGTAATATAATATATGGTGGCAGATGATCGTATCGGGAAGATCGGCGATACGCTCTGCTGCTGCTGCCCTGCCCTGTTCCTATTTTGGGCGGTTAGCCCTACACGGTTGTACTGATTAAATACATGGTAACAGTTGAAAATGCCCTATTTTCATTTATTTTTTTTATATTACTAGGTAGGCCTAACAATTGGGTATTAAACTAGGACTTTTTTTTAATGATGATAAGGCGCAAGGTGTAGGCTAGCCAGCCTTTGTTGAAAGGGCACTTCATGAAAAGGGGGGTTCGTTCGCACCTAACGAACCCCCCTGGCTACGGGCTTGAATGATCCACTGCAACAAACTTATCTTCCTTCAAGATTTCACTAAAATAATCTCTCTTCCCGCTTGGAAAAATAATATTTTAATACTGCAGCAGGTGTGGATTTAGACCTTCGCACCTTTTGCCATGGCGGATGTCAGAGCAAGAAATATATACAGTAGTACACAAAAAACGTCAAAAACAATACAGAAAGATTATTGGTTGTTTTAGACAAATATAATGTCAGATTATTGCGATTGTCAATTAAGCTTTGGATCCTCTAACCAGCGTCCATCCACAGCAGCAGCGATGAAGAATTGTGATGATGACATTTCTGTGTTTCTAGACTGTGCTGCACTATTACCAGTGGTGGTGCTCAATATTATTATCATCATCATCAATAAATAATGCGATTAATACTGGTAATCATCAGTATTACCCTACAATAAACAAAAACTTATATAGTGGTGATCCAGAAATTAGAAATAAAGGGGACCTAGGACATAGGCTGAAGCGTCTACACCACCTGGGGCTGGAGTAACCTAGGTGGCAATCTCAGACTAGATAAATCTGAATGTTATTTTAATTTCTTCTACATTTGTTTTATAGTTTTGAGAATCCCCCTCCCCCTTGAATCCGCCACTACTAAAACTTGAGGTATATATTGTGATTTCTCATCTGAAATATTTAATAAAGCTGGTATTGGTCATTTGGGTATAATGAATAAAAGCTAAAAAATAATCGTCATGACAGTGGCGGATCCAGGGATTTTAAAATTAAAATACAGGGAACCCAGGGAGGGCTTTCACAGATGTAGGGTGTGGACGACCTCAGTCTCACCATGGTTGGGGAAATTTAGGATTATGCCACCGCTGATGGCCGGAAATTACACTCTTTCTCCCTACATTAATTTTTATTTTAATTATGAACAATTTGGGGGCTCGGTCCTTGAATCTGCAGTCTGTATGGTGAAAGGAATACTGGAAAGTGGTACCGAATTAAGTCTGTTTCATTTGCCGTATTGTATTTTCAATATTTATTACCGGTATCTCTTTTGATTACAGATATGCTGCTCTGTCTCCGGGGACCACTAGCTTGGTCACTAGCCCTGAGCACCCATTCGTATGTGGCTGGGCAAATGTGAAATCAGCTTCTTTGCTCACGCCAGGGACGTAGCTAGGATTGAAAGGGGAGGGGGAAGCCGTTATGCGAATCACCTAGGACCTCGGTGGGGTCCAAGGGGCGAATCCCCCTGCGAAGTAGCGCACTTTGAACGTTCTAGGACTGTTTTGCGAGGATAAAGTGAAAATTGCAATAGACGCATTATAAATAAGCTAGCGGAACAGTAATTATAATAAATCAATAGTGGCAGATCCAGGAATTCGAAAGATAGGTAAACCAGGGAGGGACTTTCACAGACCGAGGAACCACCCACCTCAGCCCCACCATGGTTTGGGATGAGGTAAGAAAATTTATGATTAGGGCATCTCTAGATGGCCGGAAATTGCACTCTCACACTTAAATTTGAATATGTGGGGGCGGGCCTTGAATCCACCTCTGCTCAAAACATTCTTTATCCAGAATAGTCATAATCACGAAAAATGGACATGAAAAACCAGATCACATCCCAAAAACAAATGCATGGACCATCGCCTCAGCAGTCACTAAGACATGGGGGGGGGGCTTACATCAGGAGCCGACTCGATGGAGTTTAATGTCATACTTAGGGAAGGGCACAGATCTGTTTTAAAAGGTGGAGGGGGAGGACATTTTGTGAGTCGACACCCACCTTAGACCCACCATGGTTGGAGCTGAAGTAAGAAAATTTGAGGAAATAGTACGGTACCTCTAGATGGCCAGAAATGACACTTTCTAAAATTCATCATCATCACATCACTAGGCCTATTAGTCAAAATGAAGCGCCAAAAAAAAAAAAAAGCATTCTCATGATCTTTTATCAGGGATTTTTGACAACCATAGATCTTATTAATGTGTGTGTGATATACAAAACTTAAAACATTGTCTTTGAGTAGGTAATTTACATAGGCCTACTTCAAAAACGTGATTTCACAACCAAAATCAGCCACAGCATGGTTGGGGCTGAGGTGATTTGAGAAATACTAGTACCTCTAGATGGCCGGAAATGACATTTTTATATAGTAAAATTCATCATCACCACATCACCATAGGCCTAGTCAAAATGAAACGCCAACAAATTTCTCATGATCTTTTATCAGGGATCTACTTAATATCCAGGACAACTTAGGCCTAACTATAACTTACTAAGCTTTAACTATACTATAATAATTATAATCAAAAAATTGAACAAATCACAACTTTTTTTCGCATTAGCACAATTTTCTTCACTTTTTATTGCGGGTTGCGGCGGCCATCTTGTTGAGTCAATTATAACACTCATCATTATCATCATCATCATGTCATCATCATCATCATTGTTATTATTATTATTACTATTAGGCCTGGTAGTAGTATTATTAAACAAAACTTTAAAGAAACTTGGAAAAGGATAAAAACGAAACTGAACCATACAGTATCGCATTCCTATATCTTAAAAGACCTGGCCTGAGATTTATGGATTTAAGATTTTTTTTTAATCAAGCTTAGGTCTATGTGTTCTATGTGTGACCTAGGTAGAGGTCTGGGATTGCGCCAGGGCAGTGATGGATGATTGACACTCTGAGACCTTGCGTTGTTTAACACCACACATGTTTTAAGACAACAATTAACTACATATTCAGGACGGTTACATGTGCCCCATAAGTATTTAATACAATTGT